ACTATGTCAACAGTGGGAAGGTTTGGTGACAAAAGTGCTGTCCATATGTAAAAATTGACAAAAGTGAAAACTGTTCCAACTGGTTTTTCTGCCTCCCATTGTCAATATTTCATTGCCACATTGCTAGCTCCACTGTCAGCAGACAGAGCAAAGCAACCTGGTTAAGCATTCCACAGTGCGGTGTTTTGAGAAGATATAGTTGAGCCCTGCACTTCTGGAGATTCTTTCTGAGTTTTCCCACAACATTTTCAGCTGTTGGGAGCAGTATCACGAGTGTGTATGAACTAGGGCCGGCTCTAGGTTTTTTGCTGCCCCAAGCAAAAAAATTTTTGGCAGCCCCATTTTTGTTGGCTTTTACATGTTTGCACTTTGCAATGGTTTTTTTTTTGACTGTTTAAAATTTAAAAGAAAATGAAAACAGAAAATTTGTAGTTAGTGAAATAAAACATCTTCCTACTAGTGTACTCCTTTAATTTTAACAAAATCACAATTACAAACAATTTGGGTTCAACTATACACTGTAATGAAAAATGGCAGCACCAGCCCCAACTGCAGTGAGCAGCTGCAGAATGCCGGGGGCTGCTGTGGCCTGGGCTGTGCAGGATGGCAACCCCCTCACTCACACACTGCGGCCCGCCTGGCCTCACAGGAGTCAGTGGGCTAACTCCTGGGTCTTAAGGAAGCCGGAGCACCTGAGGGGGTCTTTTGGCCTGGCTGGGAAATAGGGCCCAGCTCCTTCCCTGTCTCCCTGGCAGCGTTTCTCAGGCTGCAGGCCAGTGAGACCAGGTCCCAGCCCCAAGCAGTCAGAGACCATTTGATAGGAAACCTTTTCAGAACCAGCTGCGGCAGCACAGCCCCTGGCCATTGCCCTGAGGTCTGGCCCAGCCTGGGAGGGGGCAGGTCTCAGGCTCTGCCCAGCCTCCTGGGCACCAGGTGAAGCAAAGGGCACGAGAGTCTCTCTCCCCTGCCCCCTCCCGACTACAGCAAGGCCAGGGCCAGCCAAGGGGGGCAGTAGTTACCCTGGTGAAGCAGGACTCCAGGGTGGGAGCCACACAGGGAGCAGGGAAACCCAGCCCCGGACTCTCAGCAAAGGGAAGACCCGTTCCTCAGCGCTCCTCGGGCCCATCCCCGCTGGACAGTGCAGAATTCAGCCCCCCGGAAGCCCCGCTTCAGGAGCAGGAAACTGGGGGACCCACCGCTTTCCTGCCCCGCCAGACTATCCAGGCATCCAGGCCGGGGCGTTCTCGGGGTCCGGGAGCTAGGCTGGCAGGGAAAGGGCCGGCAGGGTGCCACGTGTGGACCTGGCACTGCCACTCTCTCCTTCCCCCGGGGCCCTTCCTAGTCCCATGCCCCCAGCCCGCAGGCAGACAAGGCGGGACAAACTCCCAGCACCGGGTGGCCACGGACAAGGCAGGCAGCAGGCGGAGACAAGTGGGGCTTATCCTTGGCAACTGGGCAGTGGCCCCCCCCCGTAGGGAGCTGTCCAGGGGCCCCCGCTCCTCCCCTTGCCACCGGGCCCGCACGCCTGCCGGGCCAGGTGGGAGTGCAGGAGAGGAGGAAATCAGCTGCCATCCCTTTAACAGGCACTGGAGTGGAGTTCAGGCTGAAGTAGGCAGCAGAGCTGGGCAGCAGCAGGAGGCAGAGGGCTGATAGCAGGCTCCAGGCGTGCATGGTGCCAGCGCTGCACAGCAGGTAGTAGCATCTCCCGCGGCCCTTTAAAATCAGCGGGGTGGGGCTGGGCATTGCTGGGAGCGGCTGCTTACCTGGAAATGCCGCCCCTGGAAAAGTGCTGCCCCAAGCACATGCTTGATTTGCTGGTGCCTAGAGCCAGCCCTGGTGTGAGCTCTCTGTGCTGAGGAATGTCAAAGCAGCACAGCAGTCTGTCCAGACTTCCCACTGCAGCAGCAGTCTGCTTGCTGCTGTGTTTTTAGCAAGGCAGAAATGGAGCATTCCAATGATTTGCTCTTTTTTGTTTGTTCCCAAAATGGAGCAGCTCACTCAGATACTTCCCAGAGCTTTGAAAAGGTAGGGGCAGCAGAGCCATTAGGGCAGGCATTATGGGATTAGGGAGGAAGCCAGTTCTCTGGACAAAACAAAAACACAGAGTCCACAACGGCTCTTTGTTGACAAAGGGAGGAGAAAAGACAAAAATCTCTTGCAGAGGTGGAAGTTTTTTGACGCCAAAACTCAGTGTCCACTCCCCTCACTCCAAAAAATGCTCTCACTGTTTTGTCAACAAAGGCAGTTTTTGGTGACAAAATATGCCAGCATGGACAAGATCTTCAGTCTAACAGAGGAAGAACAACAGCTTTGGGTTAACACACTGAAATTTTGAGTTCAGAACTATGCAGTGGAAAATGGCAAAATAAAACTAAGAAAACTCAGACACATACAGAACTTACCTTGGTACAGAATCCACAGAAGATGAAGCTGGAACCTTGGGCACCTGACAGTTTGCTGCTGCAGCCAGCTTTAAGGCAGATGATGGAACAGCACTTAAAGTCCTAGGTATATGTCGTGCATTGAGTGTGGAAATAGAGTTTACAGTGGCAACCGATGAGGGTACAGTTAATCGAATATTGTTCCCAATCAGGACCTGAGTTGTTGCAGAATTGGCAGCAGTTACTTGGTGACTCAGTGCGCTGTGGGAACTTGAAGTCTGTGTTATATTTGAAGGCGGTAACAAGGTTGAACCTGCTGCTGACGATGAACTTGTATGTACAAGCGCGGTGGGCGTAGTACTACTGAGGTGTAAGCCCTTGTATACTCCTGCAGAAGAATGAATTACAAAATTTTTTTGTTACTCCGAACAGGGATTTCACATATCAGTCATAACAGCAAAATATAATCAGAATGAAATTAGATATGCATAGCTCCATACCTGAGGCCTGAAGGATTCCATTCACCCCAATTCCAAGCACCACATCATCCTTCATTTTGAATCCCATCAATTGTTCTGATGTAACCAAAGCTGAAGCAGCAAATTGAGCACTAACAGAATCCAATGTTTTGGATACAAAACCCTAAGAAGAAAGGTGGAAAATAAATGTGATAGGTTTCAGAAAGTCAGCACTCCTATTTTTATGCATACACTAGAAATGTACAAACCAGTACAGAAAAAGTAAGAACTGATCCAAGTCCTCCTCCTTCCGTAAAACCAAATTTCTGATGTTTAGTGAAGTTAAATACTTAAATGCAGTATTCCCCATGTCCAGCACTATTCCAGCACTAAAACATACACAAGTATTTCAAATGCACAAAAGACTACCCTTCCTTACATCACGTTTCTCATGATTTCCAAACCAAACTGGAAGATTCAGGAAGGTCAGATGGCCAACAGCAACTTCTGAAACTTTGTGTGTTTCTCCATTTACATTTTCTGTTACATATTTAACTATTTGATATTTTTACAACTAAAAACAGGACATGTTTACATACTGGTAATAAAAGGTAAAAACCTGGCGTTAAAACATATAGTCATACCTACAGTTTTAACAGGATAACAACATGGCTGGAGGGTTTTTTTTTGCAACATGTATTCCCAAGTCTGAGTATTTCATTTAATCGATTCACTCATCTTTCTGGTTTTGTTAAGAGGGAGCAGAGGCAATGTCTGCCACACTCACCTGCAGTGTCCCTTCTAAACACTTTACAGAATGGCTATGATGTAGATTCAGGCGAAAGCCACCTTCCTGTTCGTTAGTTTCAAGGTTCTATGGCAACAGTTGACAATTAGAGATGAACCCTGGTGGGAAACAATGAGGAATAAATCATAGCACAGACAAATCCCTCACCTGTGACGTGTTGGCAGAGGAATTACTATTTGCTTGCTGTTGATGAATTTGTGCAAACTGCTGTTGCTGCATTAGTGCCAGTTGCTGTTGATGTTGCTGGTATTGTTCGGCTGTAAATGCTGAACAAAATATAAAATGAGAAAATACTATATCAAAATATGTATATGTTGCATAAATAAATCTTTTATAATCTTAAAACAAAAATATTTCAATGCATTATGGCAAATTCCGTGTTGCATCTTCATGGCCACAGACGACGATCCTTCTAGCAGTTTTGCTGAAACTAAGTTTTCGCCCATTGAACACATTTGTGGTGATGGATTAAACACCTGCATTTAGCCTATGATATGAGGGAAGACCTCTCATTTAACTGAAATTAAGGGATTACGGCCATTTTGGCACAAACCACCACTCAGATAAAACTGATTTGCAATGGCTGTGTTTCAGAGTAGTAGAGGTTAAGACTATCTTTCATAAGTGCAGATCCAAGGCATTACTTTGTCAGATGCTGAACATTCTGAACTTCCATAATCTAATGGGAATGAAGGTGAAGAAGGCCTTCAAGTTTAATATTTAGTTGAAAATATAAAAATGAATTTGACAGTTAACCAAAGAAAACTTTGTTTTATCACCTTTATGATCTCTCAACATAACTTCACTATTCCCACCACCCTGCTTTGTGCAGACTAAGACACCTTCTATATTATTATTTTTTTTAAATCATGCATAGTGTCAACTCCATTAATGGAGAATTTCATAGAAGCTACTTTGTTCCATTAATGAGCTCTTAAAGAGTGTACTATTAGTCATAACAAATTTCAAATCACAGTTTTCCCCAACTAATCCACCTGGAAAAAAAATCCAGTCAATAAGAATGAAGTTGTTTATGTTGATTTACAGAAGGATGTCTGAGGAAAGACACTATTATACTAATACGTCTATAGAGAGATCAGTTCTAAAAAACAAAAAATAAAATTCATTTTGAATCCTCAAAATGGTCTCTATAGTTTTAATGAAGAAAATTCTCTTTTGCCAATTTAAAAGTGGGATGGTGATTAAATCCATTCTAGAGTCAGACTAGACCACATCTTGTGAGTTTTTTCTAAGTAAGTTTCAGGCCCCTAAATTTCCGGGGAATTTTTTCTAAACAAATTTTGTGAACATTCTAATGCAATAACAACTCCCAATGGTTTCTAGAGTTACAACTTATCAAGTGAAAGATATCCAACTTTTTATAAGAACATGGGAATTAATTGCTTATTCAAGAAAATACACTATCTTGGCCAAAGCTTTTATCCTTTATTCCCAACTACAGAAAATCTGTACTCCTAACAGCTTACATGAATCTAATATTTTCAGGAAAAGACTAGAATGTTTTTAAATGTTTGCTGAATGCTAGATGATAGAATAGTTAATCAAATGGCTTGTGATTTGAAAACAGGACAAATTAATCCATAAGAAGTTTCAAAAGATCATACTTCTTCTGCCTACTCAACTAAATAATGACTCAGAAATATTTGCATCATTTGCAGCTACAAATTAAGACTCTGTACATATCTTTTTTCTGGTCATATATTGAAAGATCACTAAAATTATCACAAAATCTATTTTAGGGTTTTATACTGCTGCCCATCCATGTAGTATTTGACTGTCCATATATAACAGCTAAGCACAATAAAATAACATAGAATTTCAAATAAGTTAAAAGCTCTTCTGATAAGTGTGTTTTATGAAGACTAATACACCTAACAACCATACAGTGGTTGTTCATATATAACCATGTGTAATAATACTGCATCACCTCCAACTTATTTCTTTTAAAAATGGCAAATTGAGTTGAGATTTGTTCTGAAGATGAAAAAAACAACACACATTTATTGCATTAGTAGGCGTTTCATTTATATAAATCTATTAGTAAATTATAACTAGTTGCTGATATATATATATTAGTGTTTATAGAAACCATACAAATGACAACTAGGAGAATTAAGATTTTAAAATTTAGATGATTTTTCTTCATGTTAATTCTCAGTCACTCAGCAAAAAGTTTTTGCATTCTAAAGGAACAAGTGTGTAAATGTATTGCTTAAAAATGAATGGAATGATTTAATAAAGAGAGGAATAATCCACTGTTTATCAACTGGTATCTTAAACTATATGGACATAAAGCTGCATGTATATTTTAAAAGCTGCCTCCTGGCACGCACTGGCTCCCAGGAAACAGCCTGTCACCCTGCACGTAATCATTGAAATTTTCAGCGGTTGCACAGTTTTTTAATTACACACATTTTAATATCCCTAGTAGTTTCCAAATAGCATTTTAATGAATTAATTCAGTCCACATGGGAATTACCCTTTCCAGCCATTATAAAAATACTTGCAATAACCGTTTAAAAAAAAGAAAAAAAGCAAGGGTAAAGAAAAAAAAAACTGATCTGCCCTCCACAGCATTTCAATTATTTAATCTCAAGTTAAAAAAAAAAAAAAAAAAAGTGTAAAGGAAGCATTGAAATTCAATGGTAGTTGGCTGCTTCACTTCCCTGAGGGGTATTTGAAAATTTGCTTTTCAGATACTCAGTCACTTACACATGCAAAAAGCCTTGTAGAAGGTTTTAGAAGAAAGCATCTCACTATGCTATTTAATCTTCTGTATATCCTTTATTTTCAGTGCATTTGTACAAATCTGACTGAGATTAGACAACTCTCCTGTAAAATCACTGATCTACACAGCAAAACTGGACAGCACTGTAAAGACGATGGTTTATGGTCTTTAAATTCAGATCAAATAGTTTCACAATTTTTTTATAAGCGCAAAGCTGATTATCTCCAGCAGCTTCTCTAACAGAACACCACATTTCAGGAAGAAAATTCTGTTCACCTTTAATGAAAAGCCTTTTAGTACTAATATTTGCGGATTAGCAGAAATTGACTGCCAAAAACAGGCTAGTTGGAACGACTGCAGAAAGAATACTTTTCGCCTTCATCTACCACAATATACTGTTTTTGCTTGTAAAGTCAAACCAAGATTGTTGAGTAAACATTAAAGTTTAGGATCTTAGAATCTTGAGTGTCAATGAAGGGAAATGCTAAACTTGTTGAATAAGTATTCAGTTAAAATATCAAGTTGTAAGATGGGAGTGAGGAACCTCAGGCCTGGGGGCTGGATGCAGGAGAATGTGGGGAGTGACATTCTCCTCAATCGGGGGGCTACAGGGTCCCCCCCCACACACTTCTCACTTGTGTGCAGCCCCGACTGATTTTTCTGTGGGTCAGTGGCCCTTGATTCAAAAACAGGTTCCTCACCCCTGTTGTAAGATGACACTTTCTAAGTTGTTTAGTTACTATGCAGACATCTGGAAGCTTTATTATTTTTCAGCTCTTATTCCATAAATGAAATTGTAAAGGATTGAAGATCTAATGCAGTGGTTCCCAAACTTTTTGGCATCATGCCCCCTTTTTGATTTTTGAGAAACCCTCATACCCTCCCCCCCTCAAAAAAAAATAGCAGCAAAACTTGTGGGGGGGGGGGGGAGAGGGAGAAGAGGGGAGAGAAAATAACTGACCAGGTAGAGCTACACGTGTTCCAGCGGATGCCCAAGCCAGGAAAACACATGTCCAGTATTTTCTGAAATTTTTTTTACCTAACAGACCAGGCTCATTCTTGGGGGGAGGGGAGAGATTTTTGGGGGAAAGGGGGGGCTGGTTC